CTATATGAGGGTTCATTGTGGTCCTCTTCTTGGTCTTCGATCCTCTTTCGGGATTTGATGCCCAGGAAGCACCTGTTAATAAGCAAGATAGTTTCAGTTCTTAACACTTTTCACTCGTGTTTGTTGTTCTACCGAATCCTGGTCCAACGCACAAAGGTGTGCACGGATCTACACTTCGGATTCTGACCGGGAATAGTAACGTTAGACCACCCGATAATCTTTGAAACACTTATTTCAACGTGCGATTTGGGACGTAAGTTACTAATTCTGTTTTCGAATACTATTTAGGACGGTTAGTATGTGAATTGGACGCAGAAATGTATTAACTTAAACAGCTAACGGTTAGCCCTGCTAATCTATGATAACATTGACTAAGTACAGAAATGTGCACACATAAATAGTAATGTTTGTCCCATCACTGATTTTATAAACTCTACAAAAACCAGATTTGTCTAAACGGTGATAGACATGAAAATAGCAAAACTCGATCGTCATTAACTATTAGTATGCTGTGAGAACTTTCAACAATTCCGGGCAGCTGCTAACAAAATGTGAACTGTGTCATGCGATAAACGTTATTTGAAAGTAAATATTATCATATTAAAATAAAATGGGTGTAAGTGCTGCAAACATGCATGCTTACCTTCTCCGTTAAGCCCGAAATAGAAGAGGCGGCGGGAGACGACGGAGCCTGCAACAGTTCGGTTATGTCACATGACTTCCCAGGGCATAGGCTACAGTATTTCACTGCAATAATACTGTTTGCTGCTGTGAAATCCTTTATTTTTTTTCACTGTGTTGCTGTGATATTACAGACCTTGCTGTGACATAACAGCAGGTTTTAAATTGCAATGTTTTATTGTAAAATAAGAGTTAAATGCTGTAAAATCCAAGGATATTGTAGTTTTTACATGTATTCATTGGGATATTACAGGGAAATGTAATCACAACAAGTTACTGTGAAATAATACTGTTAATTATTGTGAAATGCTGGTAATTTTTAACAGTGCAGCCTTCTGATCGTGACAGACAAAGCATCACACTGACATCTAGTGGATCATGTCCTTGGTCTCTCCTTAACACTCATTCACAGACTGCAAGCAGAGGGCACTGTGTATGTAAATGCACGAGTGAGACAGCCATTACAGGCCCTGTTCACCATTTTGTTTCATAGATCTCATACATGATGTTACACTTCAGTACCTGCTATTTTTGACTCCTATTGTAAAACAGCCAGCAAGCGCACATTTTTTTCTTCGAACTTCTTAGATTGCTTTTTGGTAATTAGACGACTAAAGAACAATTCAAGTTCCATTAAAAGCAAAATTAGGCTGCCTATGTACAAGCATGTCAAATTACACATGCTGGAGTTTTTCCCCATGGAGTTAAATGTGTTGCACTACAGGGTGTAGCCTTGTTAGTAAGTTAAATGGTTGTCATTTAACGCATTTTTATTGTATTTTATTTTTTTCATGAAATGTTTTATCTTTGTTGCTCATTCATCTCTCATATAGAAATGTTATTTGGTAACATGTTAAAAACAATTTTCACAAAAGGTTTAAAATATTGAAAGTTAATTAGAATATAATAGAGATTATATAATATATAATAGAGATTTATGCATTTTATATATATATATACACACAAATGTTGAGTATCATTTTAGAAGTCAAGAAACAAATAAGTATGGTAATCATAAAAACTGTCTGAGACAGTGGCTTTATTTAGAAATATGATCTAGAGAAATGTAGCAGCATCTCATTTTAAAAACATACCTATAAAAAGTGAATGGTCAAATTTGGTTAAACACAGGAAGCGAAAATCTTAAATATAAAAATCAGAGTCCAAGCTTCTGAAGCTGGTGATTTCTCTGGTCCATTCTGGCAGTGGAGACTTGAGTCCCCGTGACAACCTGTCAGGATTTTGCTGGTCCAATGGCAACCTGAGCAACAGAAACCCATGCCCATGTTTGTGTGGGATCTCTGTGGTCATCTTCCCATCTGCTCCAGTCCCACCCTCTTTTAGCAGCAATCAGAGCCAGTTACAGCTCTGAGATTTTGGCAGGTAGTCTACATTTGTAAACTAAAAAAAAAAAAAATAATAATAAAAAAAACAAAAAACAAAACAGACCCTTTGGACCATTTAAAAAAAAAAAAAAAAGAAAAAAAAAAAAAAAAAGACATTTTGGTCTTTTCAGTCTTATGCATGTGAACTGATAGCTGGGTTTGTTCCGTAATGCCATTCATTTGTTGATTTTCACTTCAACTCAGTCAGGGCTGTCCTATTTCATACATTAGGGAAGTCAGGAGACAGTGTTCTCGGGCTTCTCGCTACTGTGTGGTGGTGTGAGGCACTCCAGAGGGAATCGGAGACCTCTGACTGCTCTCGATGTCCACTTGCTGATATGAGTGCGCCTTCCCCTGAAGAACAAGAAAACAAATAAGAAAACTTTAGGCAAGAGGAAATGAAAGCGAGAAATGTTGTGGCTTTGGCAAACGCATGCACAATTCTTCAGTCAGAACAAGATAAGACAGTAGTGTTGAAACCCAAGTTTTGATTGTGCATGCAAGTGTGCATATATAAAACTGGCCTGAGAAAGTCAAGTTATGGCCTAGCTTCAAATGAGAAAAAAAAAAAAAAAAAAAAAAAAAAAAAAAAAAAAACTTACTAGCCATTCCAAGTAAGCCACATGGGTCTGGATATTGTGCATGTCATCTGCTGCTATTCCTTTGAAGGTCTTGAGGGCTGAGCTGCCTGCCTCACGAATAGACATGGCGAAAGGGACCATCCATCTCACACACTGCTCCAAATCACACCACTTCAGCCCTGGAACAAAACATGCATAAATATGTCATTTACATTTTATAGTATACATGCTCCATTTAATAAAGCTAATCAAGAAATTCACAAAATAAAATCATTAAAAAATCAAACCTGAAACTTTCATCACTAGCTCTAGAGAAGAGAAGTGGAAGAGTGCAGAAGCTGCGATGAGGCTGTAAGAGAACTCCAGACTTCTTGCATCCAGTACACACAGATCCAAGAGCTACATAAAAAAAGACAGACACAATAAGATACAACTCTCTCCTCTGTCCACCATCACCTCCACGCTAACTGCTGATGATTTTGCCAACTTTTTCCACAAACAAAACTAGAAATATCAGCAGTCAGTTCTCAGCTTCACACACAGGAACCCAGACTAACCTCTCCCACAGCCAAAAACCTTATCTCCTCCGTCACTCCACGGACCGAGGAAGGATTATGTAAACTTCTCTGCAGTCATCCTACCACCGGTCCTCTAGACCCCATACATTCACACCTCCTAAAAGCCATCTCTCCCACACTTCTACCTGCTCTCCCACACATTAACTCATTCCTCCACACTGGCATTTAAACTGCCACTGCTTAAACATAATACTGGCCACTGCTTAAAGTAAAAAAAAAAAAAAGTTAAACATTACTTCATGAATTACAGACCTGTCTCTCTCCTATCATTCATCACAAAAACACTTGAACAAGCTGCTTTCAACCAAGTATCATCTTTCCGGTCTCTGAACAACCAGCTGGATGTCAATCAATCTGGCTTCAAGAAAGGGCATTCAACCGAGGCCGCATAGCAGTCAGTCCCCGAAGCCCTGAGGATCACAAAAGCTGCTTCCAAATCATCAGTTCTCACTGTGAATCATCAGATCCTTCTGTCCACCCTCTCATCACTGGGCATCACAGGTACTCCTCTCCACTGGTTTGAGTTCCATCTCAAAGATAGGTCCTTCAGGGTCACATGGAGACACATTTTTTTTCTGGCGTTTCAGATTCTCGCTGATTAGCTAACAGCGGTCATTGAACGATCGGCTGGCGATCCTGTTAAAAACTTCTCCATTTGACAGAGCAGAGGGTTGCGGCTTCAGGACGGTCGCAATGGCACAGACTTCGCTGCTCATATCAAGTTTAAGGCATTGACACTTGCTTACAGATTTACCAGACTCAGCTCTGTCCTACTTCCACTCACTACTACGAGTCTACAAACCCACCAGAAGCCTAAGATCAGTCAATGAGCGACGGCTAGTGGTACCATCACAGAGAGCCTCAAAATCACGTTTCCAGAACATTCTCATTCATGGTTCCATGCTGGTGGAATGATCTCCCCACCCTCATCCGGAATACCTGACAGCATTCAAAAGACAACTGAAAACTCTTCTCTTCCCTGAGCACCAAAAAAAAAAAAAAAAAAAAAAAAAAAAAAAAAAAAAAAAAAAAAGTTTCCTTTAAATCCTTGCTTATCTGGCTTATGCTACTATGAGCAATGTCTGAACTTTGCATTTTGAGCACTTAATGCACTGTTTTTGCCTCTTCACAATGACATGCTTGGTTTAGTCCTCAGTTCTAAGTCGCTTTGGATAAAAGAGTCTGCTAAATGACTAAATGTAAATGTAAAACCTAAGCAAAGAGAGACATCTGCTGAGACGAAGAAAAAAACAGCCTGAAACACCAGCTCAAGTTCAACATGTATACAAAAACTTTAAGCAAGGAAGTATTACTATGGATGCTTTTTGTCTCTATACAGTTTTTTTTTTAACCCAGACAACTTTTACATCCTAGATTATCATTCAAATAATATGGTTTGCTATAGATCCTTGATATTCAGCTCAATACCTTTAGATGAAAAACTAAGACCTTGGAATTTCTGTGTTCACAGTACGTTTTCAGTATGTTCTTATATGATTTTAATTTATATAGTAACTTGTAGTAAAATGAGTGAAGTCACATGAATATGAAAGCTGTGTTCCTAAAAGGACTTGTCATTACTTATACTCATGTCATTTCAAACCTGTATGATTGAGGTTTTATAAAAAATAAAATTTAAAAATCTCTTATTTTGTGTTCCACAAAAGAAGAAAAAATTAAATTAACCAATTTTAGTTTTTGATTAGACTAGTATGCCTTTAAAGCATATTTCCACAGAAAAGCCCCAGAAATGGAAAGTGCATTCATGTATTGGGAGCAGCTTTGAGAAAGATAAAAATCAGAAACACCATGTACACCTGCGGTATGTGTAGTAGAAAACAAGAGTGCCAGGCCTTCACACTGCAGGACACAACACGTGCAGAAATCACAGCTTTTTTGCGGTAAATATAGTCAGACACCATATTGTGATTTTAACACGATTAATTGTGAAGTCTTACCTCTGCGATCTGCGCAAATGTAGCCTGTGGGTACTGGGCTATGAGAACTTCAGCAGTCTCCTTTAGATAGGCCATCTGCATGTAGATGTTGAGCCAAGCCACTGGGGTTAAAGGACTCAAACTCCAATTCAACTCCTGAAGAACAACAAATATGGAATACAGTAATCCACAACACTATAAGCAGCAGGGCTGCAGGTTTAAGCACAGTGCTGAGATTAAAAGATGATAATCTACCTTCATGATGATAATTTCCATGTTAAGAATGTCATCCTCAGAGCATGCCCCATCAGTGACGTAAGCAAACTGATGCACTTTAGGAGGGTAAATTTCCTTTGAAAAGAACATAATACCCAATTAGATTTCATGTTCAAGTGCTGCACCTCAACTTTGAAACATTTTTAAAACATGGAATTTCACTGATAGTATATTACAGTCCTTATCAAAAGTTCAGGCTGAAGTACAAGGGCAACTGAAAGTAAAACTTACCTCCATTTTGGCAGCTATAAAGAGACATGAGATGCCTACAAGCTGTAGTGTTGTTTTAAGAACATTCTCTTGTGTGGCCATGAAGCGATCGAAGTAGTCTTGACCCAAGTAAAACGTTTCTCTGTGTAACTTGTACACCTCACAAACCTAAAAGACAGTAGATGTCAGCGTCAAAGCTCACCATTTAACATTTCAGTGCATTTGAAATAGAAACAAAACTATTTGTCACTAAAAAAAAACCCTATTCATTTCATTTTTAGTAATTCATTCTATGAAAACAGACTTCGAATTCTAAATCTGTAGAACACTGATATTTAGGTGTATGCTAGGTTATACATTCAGTCAGTGTGTGTGACAGAGGTGAGAAGAGAAGTTCTTTAGAAGAAAAGACTGCCCTTTTTTTAAAAAAAATGTATTTTTGGGATTATACATATAAATGTGAAAATATTCAAATGCACTAGGAGTATCAATACCTTAAAGACTGCCCATTTTAATATCAGCATCAGGTGAGATACTGGTCTTGAGCTCTCTGCTCACTTTTGTGAGGTTTATTATAAATAGCTACTTCTAAAACTTATGTTTAAGCTCTTGTTCAAAGAATCTCCTGCTGAAGATACAACCAAGTCTCCTATTCTTCGTTTTGAGTTTCCAACCATTTAATAATAAAGTTACATCAATAAGTAATTCAGTAAAAAGTGCAATGCATGCAAGTACAGTATGTAACTTTCTGGAACACCCATGACTCTTTTAAAAAAAAAAAAAAAAACACACAATCCCACCTCTGTTATGTAAACATGTTTAGAACAAATTGGATCGTATACTTTTCCTGTTGATCTAAAAGATTAACTACACTGTTTAACTAAACAGTCAATCAAGCTTTTTTTTAAACTTGATATGATAGAACCTATGGGTTGGTGCTGCTAATGCTCGACACTTTTACAGAAGCACATTTTTCAATGTTTCTGTAAAATACAATTACTATTGCTAACAAGCTGCTGAGCACCTGAATAATTACAACAATTTCAGAGTTCTCTCAAACTGATTTGCTGAAAACAAAAGGTGGAAAAAAAACCTACATAAATGCTTTGTGGCATTGAAGACTCTTTTCGTGTGAAAGAAATGCAAAGCGCTCCCAGCCTTTAGACAGTGAGCCGGGAACATTCACAGTTTTCAGTGCGTCAATTAAGTTCGTCAACAGTGCGTCAATTAAGTTGCATATCTATTGATATGAACAGTGCGCTTTGACAAAAGTTTGACTCTCCAAATTTAGTGTTCAAATGTAGGAAAGTGAAAACATTTCTGTGCTAAACTTATCAGCGAATCACTAACAATTTATCAAATGGCCAACAATAGACATTAGTCACCCTAACTCAGGCATGGGCAAACTTTGTCCAGGAGGGCCGCTGCCCCGTAGAGTTTAGCTCCAACCTGAATCAAACACCTGAACCAGCTAATTAATGTCTTTGGGATTACTAGAAGGCTACAGGCAGGTGAGTTGTATCAGGGTTGGAGCTAAGGACAGTGGCCCTCCAGTTGAGTTTGCCCATCAACATCCAAGCGTGAAATTTGATTTTACTCATAATGTAGAGATTTGATGCAGCTATTTTTCAGATTCGCCCACAACAACATAATATTGATATTAAAAGTAATTTCCCATCCTATATCAGAGTTTCACAAAGTTCCGCACATGCAGATCATTTTGTACACTCAGTGGTTCAACTCATTTGTTCGGTACACATGACAAACCATGTGTACAGTTACACCGCCAGTGTAAGGTGAATTTCATCGTCACCACACGTGTACTGTATGAGCACAGCCAGATTTTCCTAACCGCCTATACTCTGCACACTCAGCTCACACATACACCTTGAATATAAATGAATGAGATGGAAAAAAACAGACTTCTGGAAACGGCCACAACAATACACGGTGACCTTGAGGAGTGCTTGTGTGAGATACAGGAAAATGTAGTTTATAAAGAAAATATATTTTGTGTTTTAATTTCCGGAGAGAAATGCTGTAGAGACTTTACGAATATGAAACAATCTGGTGCGCATTTGTCGATCGTCTGTGCTCACGCACATTATCAAACGAATGAAGCAGTCACATATAAATTCAAGAGTACTTGGGCTCTACTTGCAGTGAGCTTTTAATTATAAGAAAACCTGAACAGCCTTTGTAAACAACTTGAGGTTTAGACAAGAATGAAGGAACTTGTGGCGTCCCCACCCCTCTTAATGAGATTAGATTAAGACGTGTGAATGGTTCAACAATGATTACAAACCTCCATTAGCCAATCCAGCAGAATCGCTCTCATTTTGGGTTGAAGATTCGGATGTCTCTCCATAACATGCATATCTCGCAAGTAAAGTTTGTCTTTTCGAAGCAGGTTGTTCCACACATCATCTTTGCTTGCCCAGCTGTGAGAAGATACAGGGGAACGCGTCAACTTTTTCCGTATACATATATACACTCGCGTTATAGAATGCATCAACAAAGATGTCTTGTCCTAACATTAAGTCATGTCAATATACAGTTTGGAAAGTCAAATCTCACCAGAGGGCCGGCAGAGGGGTAGAGCGCATGGGGGTGATGAAAATGCTTTCTGTGGCGTACTGTGTGAATCCCATGCTGCCAACAGCAACCGGTTCCTCGACTTCATCAGGTGTGGGGATCCGCCTGCATGGGCTTGTGTAACCAGTGTCAGGATTCCAGCAGGCCTGAGCAAGAGGACAAGATGAGAAAGAAAAAAAGAAAAGAAGGTAAACTCTAACGGATATAAACAAATATAAAAGCCCGCCCTCTGCAACTATGACAGGCTTCAAAGATATTTTGAAAAGGACCTTCCATGGCACAAAAAAAAGCTTCCTGTGTAAATTCAAGCTATGACATTTAACCTAACCACTCACTATATTAAAGTGGCATAGGCAGCAATGGCTGGAACCACTACAGACAATGAGATGGACAAATCCCTCCAATATGTAATATTCGTGATGCTGTTCTGTTTGTTGTTACGCTTACATTTTAAATTTATAGGCTGTTCTGCCTCAGTGGCCTAACAGTGCCTGAACATGAATTCAAGCGTAGTGGTTTAGTTTAACTAGAGGAAGAGTGTGAGGTGAGAAAAGTAGCTAAACAATATTTGGCAACAGTTTTAAGGATAGAAATGTTCAACAACCAAATTTGTCAAATTTCACTTGGAAATATAGGCCAAATCATTTGCAAGCTTCATGATTCTTAACAAATATGCACTTTCAACATTAGGCATACAAATCAGAGTAAATGTGTGCATCTTTAAAAAATAAAAGTCTGTGTATCAAGACATATTTATGGCCTTAATATTAGATTCTATGTATTTGTATACATGACTAATTTCAGCACATTTTAGATCTCATACACCACTTTGCGTCAACACAGAAAATACTAAAATAAAAGTGGCAATTGGTTTAGCTTATTAGATACCTGGTGAGGCCTATGGATATTATACAAACAGATTCATCCATACCTGGGGTGCACATGATTTCTTTCTGGTCATCTCTACGATTTCCTCATCTAGATCGTGTAAATGCTGTGAATTCAAAAACAAAACTGTCAGAGACTTCATCACTCATTATGTTTTTAATATAGCCGCATTATAAAAAGTTGAATAGCTTCCTTACAATAGCCACGTCTGCTTTCCTCTTCCTGGGACGCACAGAATTGGTTTTAGGAGCTTCATCTGTAGTGTTAATCTGCTCTGTTCGTAGTCTGCGTCGAAAAATGATATTGTTACATTTCCACATTGGCCTGAAACGCTGTGACTAACTGGGCCAACTCGCTATTGCAACTTTTCCATGCATGCACACTGATGTTCAAAACTGCCTTAAAAGTCCCAAAAACGAAACTTACACTTTCTTGCTTGGCATGGTATCCACGCGTGTGACCTTGTTGAGTGTCGAGAGCCTGAAAGATAAAATTGTTACTTTATAAAAATGTCCGATTTGTGGCTTTTAATCCCAACCCCCATCATGTAAGTCTTCACAATGCGCTTTGGGCGCGGGGAAGTAGAACCGGGCACAATGTTCAAGAGGTCAAAACTACACGAAAAACACAACCGACCACTTCAAAACCACAGAGATGTGAACTTTAAAGTGTATATTTTCAAAGTCAACCAAAAGCATGCCGATTTTTCAATTCGCTTTGTAATAAAACAACACGTTAGCATTGATCAACCCAAGGGAGTCAGAAAATGGCCGAGCCAATCATTATTTCTCATTTCATTGAACCCGCTTTAGCAAAAGAACCTAAAGTCTCGGCAATCCAATATTGTAAAGTTTGCTTTCCCAAACCCTTGTAATGCATTTTACTTGTCTGATGTCACTTTTATCGATCTTTAACAATGACCAAATTATTGTGCAACGCACGTACCTTAATATGATGCTCTCTGAAAATGCGTTCTCTCCACGGATATCCTCAAACACAAAAGTTAGGATGGTGTGACACAAGGCATTATTTAGAAAAACTGATCGAGTCTGAATGCAGGGAGCATATGGCTAAGCTGTGATGTGTTCCGCAGTCCGCTCGCTCTGAGCTGGCGCCAGTAATTTTGCGCCTTGTCTTATAACCCGCCAGCAGTCGTTAAAAGGGGCCGTCAACGCGGGTCATTTAAAAACCCCGCTCTGCTATAACAAACGCGCAGCAGTGCGATCATCAATATCGCTATAGTGCGATTGACACCGGCGTTATAATCCAGGCATTATTGTCCAAACATATAATGCTCAATAAAACAAAGTTTAGAAACATAAAAAAATTTGCCGGTAAAATGAGGGGTGTGTTTGTTGACGTCACGGCATTGAAGTAGCGGAAGTGCGTTGAGCACATGGCTAGCAGGCTCGAGAAGTAAACAATCCCAGTGATCATGTTAAATAGATGGATGTAATCACGCTATAGTGTTAGTGAGACTCGAGATTGAATGTTTTGGTTATTCTCTGATGACCGTTTGAGATCTCAAGTGTTGTCAAGCTGATATAACGCATTATTTTGTTACAGTTGCTGTTAACGCAGGCAAAAATCAGTTTCAGTGGATTTGACTGGCGCCCCCCTTAGAAATACAGAAAACTGCAATATCCAAACGCGTTTTTAAAATCCTATCAGAGATGTTTCGTTTACATGTTACAGATATCTTGGATGGTGTCATTAGATCCACACTTATGTCAGTTACCGGTAACCTTTGGCCAGTCACGTGACCATCAAAAAGTACACAAATCAGTTTTTTTTGCTGGCTTAAGAAATGAAGTTTTTAAATCTTTTCGGACGCTTAAAATCAAATGTCATTGGCATGATTCACGTCCGAGCCTTGCCAGGTAACGCATTTGACGGGAGACAAACTTAATACAGGAAAGACTGAACTTTTAATTTATTTTCTTTTGCAGGAACCCCCTTGAACCGCGCTACTCTCTCCGAGATCATAGAGGAGGCATGTCGAGAGGCGGACATTTACCACCACGCAGGACTTGTATGTGCTCAATAACGTATCATTGGCATGTCTTTGTGTAGAATTATAATAATATCGCTCTTTATAATAGCCTTATATTGTTAGCGGTGCTATTGATTCGCGACCTAATTATTCTTTTAAATCGGATCTTTCCTATGAATTGTTGAATCTATTCATAACGCGGTCCGAGCAGTTCTCGAGTCATCTGAATCATTGAACCGAGAATCATCTCGATGTCTGATATAAAAATAAAATAAAATAAAATTTTACATATATATATATATATATATATATATATATATATATATATATATATATATATATATGGAAACAACAAACACAAATAAGTTGCTAGAAAGGATTAATTTTGAGATATAGTTTCCATTGTAGTTCCTTTGGATAGTTATGTAGCCTACTTGTCTAGATCAACTTTGAATAGAGAAAGATGGGTTTAGAGCCAGTCCTTTTTTGTTTATAACCTATGTGAAATTTAGCTATAGTATACACAAGTTAATTATATAATATTGTAAATATTATTTTGAGTAGTAAAAAAAATTGTTGTCGAAAAAGACAGCTTTGTTGAAATATTTAATTTAGAGTAGGCCTATGTAATGTCATACCACACTCTTAGAAGAAAAGGTTCTATATAGAACCTTAAAAGGTTCTAAAGCGCTATGTATTTGGAACCCCTAAAATGCAATGCATGATCACAAAAATCAAGATATGGTGGTTAAAAAATGTAATTAATCAATATCCGACGAAGAGTGCCATTTCAGTTTTTATCCTCCAAAAATCTACATGATTAAAATGTGATATTAAGTTACTACAACAGTTTAATAAACAATAATTTAATAACAACTACAAATGTTGCAGAATAATGTAATACATGAATGAATAATAGCCTTTAAAGAACCTTTGTGCCAAAAGGGTTCTTTCTTGTCATTATTTAACCTTTTTTTAGCATAAAATGTCCTTTGGAGTTGAGTAAAGGACCCTATGCTACATATATAGAACCCTTTTTTCTAAGAGTGATGATGTCAAGCACAAAGTCACGACATAAAAAAAGACCTGAATCAGATTCTAAACCGATTCATAGAAACAAGTCACATCAGTCTTCGGATTTCTAATATCTTCTTTCCAGTAGGCTACGTGTGCCTGCAAGTGTCATAACTAGCATTCAATAGGAGATATTTTTCCATTTTCTTTGAAATTTGACTGAACGAAATTACGTCATCAGACCAGTCTATTTGGTAAAAGTTATCAGATTTTAGATTTCTCTTTTGTCAGATATGTTTCTGGTCACTGTGTGTGAATGCTCATTTCAGATCATTCTCTGTATGACAGGATGGGCTGATCATTGAAAACATGCATGATATTCCATACACCCTAGAGGTGGGCCCAGAAGTGTGCGCATCAATGACAGCTGTGTGTGCAGCAGTCAGGAGACTTTATCCATCTTGGCCGCTCGGTGTTCAGATTCTCTCAGCTGCAAACCAATCAGCACTGGCTGTTGCCCTGGCCTCAGGTGTTCACATGACTCTACAAGCTATCATGAATGCCATTTCAAACCGAGGTATTCTCTGACAAGACATTTAATGGATAATTGCTCCTGCCCCTCCACAGGGCTGGATTTTATCCGTGCAGAGGGGTTTGTGTTCTCACATGTTGCAGACGAAGGCCTGTTAAACGCTTGCGCTGGCGAGCTGCTGCGCTACCGCAGACACATTGGAGCAGAGCACGTTCAGATCTTTACAGACATCAAGAAGAAGCACAGGTATCTGTGATCTGAGTGCATTACGTGCTGGCTGACCACAGAGCTCGAACAGAGGCACAACACAGTGTGGTGATTTCTGCTTTATTGTGTGATATATTTGATAATGTTACAGTGCTCATGCCCTGACTTCAGATGTGAGCATAGCTGAGACAGCCCAAGCAGCCGAGTTCTTCCTCTCTGATGGAGTCATCGTCACAGGAACTGCCACTGGAGCACAGGCTGATCCACAGGAACTGAGGGGTGAGTCTGGCTGCCTGATGTCAGAATATAATTTAGTCTGACTGTGTAAAAGTGCTCTGTGTATTTATTTTTTTAATGTCTATACTACTTAGTCTTTAGTGTATCATTAAAGGGATAGTTCACTTAATTTAAATTCACTTAATTTAATACATTTTACAATTAATTTTTGATATGTTTTAGCTACCTCAAGGGCATCCAAGATGTAGGTGTCTTTGTTTCCACAGTATTTTCAATTTTGATATTTTTAGGTCAAACCGTTCTTGTCTGTCAGTCATATAATGGAGGTTTATGGGGCCCGCCCTGGGTTCGCCTCAAAAAGCATGCACAGAGAAGTCAAAATTAAACATGATTTAATGACTCATAAATGTAAGTACACATTGATGGCCTGAGACATGAAATGAGCGGTTTGTGTGAGAAAACGAACAGTATTTATATCGTTTTTTTCAGCAGCATGATTGGTAATAATAATAAATGTTTCTTGAGCAACAAATCAGCATATTAGAATTGATTTCTGAAGGATCATGTGACACTAGAGACTGGAGTAATGATGCTGAAAATTCAGATTTGCCATCAAATGAATAAAACCATAAATATAATAAAACTGAAAACAGATATTTTGAATTGTAATAATATTTCAGTTTCACAGTATTACTGTATTTTTCTGTAGCCTCGGTCAGCATAAGAGACTTGAGGGACAAAATCTTACTGACCCCAATTGTCCAAGGTTACATGTTTGTGCAAAGTCCAGGAATCACTAGTGTTAAAAATGGACACTTATGTGACACTCTCTGCGTGCAATCCTTTTCAAACGTAAATCTGCTAATTTAGAGGTTAATCAGCTTCTAATATTTTAATAGAGCCCATGCAGCCATGTGTGTAAATGTTTAAAGATAGTGGTGTCCTTTGGAAACAGAGGATGCTGCGCAGTCTCCTGGCCCTGGTGACTGCCCCTTGTGGGCAGATGGCCTGCTTCCTGCCCTGCCCCAAAACCAATGGCCTTGTATGGGCTAACATAGACACCAGCACTTCCAGCAATTTTAAATCCCACTTCCAGATGGCTAGTGATCATGGAAGGCTGTAAACATAGGCATGAAAAACCAGGCCCAGTCTAGTCTGCTACTGCCCTGCTGCCTACTTTGGACTTGTGCCTATTGCCTTCTTTAGTTCTGATCCATTGGACTAGGGAAGCTGTCAGATGGAGGATGAGGCACAATCTGCCAAAATCCTCATTACAATGAAAGAACAACATGTTTTTGTATTTTTATGCATGCATGTAACAGAAAGATGTCCTCACATTCATGTCTGCAATCCTATTTGTTTTAACAGAGGTTACCCAGTCTGTACGGATCCCTGTTCTCATCGGTTCTGGAGTAACTCATGATAACGTGGAGCAATACCTTCAAGCAAACGCCATGATCATCGGCTCCCATTTCAAGAAAGGAGGCCACTGGGCAAATGGTGTGGATGCTGAGAGAATCAATAGGTTCATGGGGAAGATGCACACACTTCGGGAGTGACTGTTGCGACTAAAATTGCAAAAATAAATAAATAAATAAGAGCAATTAGAAGACAAATGTGAAGATAAAAAATTTATTTATTTTTTTTTTTCACTTTTTAAGTGTTATCATATATATATATATATTCATGAAGATAAAAAAGCAACCCCAGGCATTTAAATATACAAAGTCAAATAATCACAGTAAATCACAACATATCACTTTGTCATGTGAGTAACATTAAGATACAATTTCATTTCAATACTTGAAAATTTGCTTTGCCTGGTACAGTACAATCTTCAACACTTAATTGTTCTCAAACAAGTTTTTTTGTTGTTTTTTATATACATGCTCCAGTCACAGCTAAGCTAAAATAGATCCACTCAAAAATCATTGCATTGCTTAAAAACTTTAAAGTACTAAAGGACTAATAAAGCAAACTACTTGTAATTTTTTAACATATGCTTTACAGAGTTATTTCAGTGTCACACACTGTCAGTGAGACTTCTTCCTGAAGATAATAATACCACACTGCATGTAATAAAACATTTTTCTTAATCCATCCTAGTCTTACAGGGGAATGGTTTCATATGCTAATTTGCAAACATACCCCCTTAAACCACTCTTCACTCATCAAATCCTGTATGTTCAGTGCTTTCAGATGAAATTGATCATTTTCTCAGTTGTTGTACAGGCGCTGAGTGGGCTGTTTGAAGTAACGCCGCTCAGAAGGTGAATAGCGTGTTCTTGCAAGATTTTGCCTGTTGAGGGCGCCGCGGGTCAGTTTCCTGTGCTCATTATAGACTCTGGCACACTGCACTGAGAGCAGAATGGCGCTGCAGGGCAAGGGGCTGCCCCATGCTGCTAACCGCCAAGAAACGTGACGGCTGACTGGCACTGGCCTAAAGGGGTAAATTGACAAATCACAAGCCAACATAACCACAGTTACAACTTGGAAATATAGGTTACATGTCCATGTGACATCAATGGACGTGTTTTCTTTATATCATATATATCTTTTTACAGAAGACTGCAGTCTAAAAAATGAATGCTGAAAATGGTTTATATTATATTATTAAACAGCAAACATTTTCAACATTAATAATGATAAATATTTTTGAGCAGCAAATGAGCATAATTAGAATGTTCATGTGACACTGAAGACTGGAGTCATAATGATGCTGAACATTCAACTTCACTATCAAAGGAATAAATTACATTTTAAAATATATTAAAATAGGGAACAATTATTTTGAAATGTAATAATATTTCATAATATTGGTAGCTCTTTATTTTCTGTTTCACAACATATAATGTACTTACTGTAGTAAAGACAAGGTAATAACCCCTAAAGTGTTGCCATACGCTGCTAAGTACTTTTGTGGGTAGGTACAATGTAAGTACTTTGAAAGTGTGTGCACTAAAATAAAGTGCAACCACTATATTACTGTTTTTATTGTACTGTTTTGATCTAATAAATGTAGCCTTTTTAAATAAGATACTTTTTTTTAAAAGCATTAGAAATTGTATCAACTATTAAACATTTTAAGTCGCTTAAATAATCAATATTAGCTTGATTCTGGCTGAAAATGGCTAAATTACTTGTCTTTAAACTTACCTAGCCACGTCCTCCGTTTCTTCATCCGAACCGAGGTCTCCCTGATCAGGCCTCATCTGGTACACAGACATGCTGGGGTGCTCGATTAACAGGTTCTCAAGAATGTTGGTGTCAGCTGAGCCAAGTGACTGATTCTCTGCACAGGAAGCATAAATTACTTAAAGTCAACAACATTACTAATGATCCAATTAGCCATGGTTCAAAGCAGGGTCCCTAAATTCAAGGGGCAAATTATTTTTGTTTGTTTTTTTTCTTGCACAGACCAAATGAGTAACCTATACAATAAGGATACTGAGACTATAGTTGTCACAGTATAGTTGTCTTAATTATTTCAGTAACTATCCTCCGGTTTCACAGCAGGGCTTAAGCCTAGTCCCAAACTAAAATGCATGTGTCAGCTGTCTTAGCTGAAAGCAATTTGAACTTTCATATACCTTAAAATATGTTTTGTCTCGAGATGCACACCATTCATATTTTTTAAAGCACTTTAATAAAAGCTAATTAAATGTCCTAATTGTACTAAGGTCTAATCCTAGCTTAATCTAAGCCCTGTCCGAAACCAGGCCTATAAATTTTAAAATCAGAATTAAACGTCTTCTCCGTCAGTGGAATTTATTATGAAAATGTCTATAGTTTTATCTATACCTGTTGGATAAAGAACTGAACCCAATACAACCACACTAGCATGCATTCAAGATAATGAAGGTTGATTTTTAACTGAAACTGAACTGATCCTAACTGCTCCGTACAAGGGTATTTACTTTGTTACATTTTTTAAACGTTATACTTTTATATAATTTATTTCTTACAATATATCTTGACTAATGTTAACTTTGCATTTTTCATGAATTGTTTTGTTTCATAATTGTTTTACTGTTTTTACTTCTCTGACAGTTTACCACTGCAACAACATGACATGCTTTTAAAATGTTAGAAAAGGTCAAGGTGTGTTCAGCGGTCGTTTATTACAGTGGATCTCAACTTGCAAGGTCCCCCATCCCCATACAATTAACCAAAATATTTAATTTTTAAATTTCTTTAGCTTATTTTAATGCTCGTTTTGTCTTATTTAAAATAATTAAGTCATCTTATGTCCCCCTTGGAAGTTTGTTGAGGCCCCCTAATGGACCCTGGCCCCATGGTTGAGAACCACAAACTAGAAATTTAAGTAATGACTCTCAAACTATTAGCATTATAATATGTGATTACTATTAACATCAATAGAAGAGTTACTGAACTGACAATAATTGGTTACCGTGTATCTTTATGATAACCCATTCTCCATCATCAAACTCAAGGAGGTTTGCACAGTTATCAGTTTCCTCTGCAACATCACTGTCCTTCTCTTCTCTTCCCACCAGCTGTGCAAGGATTCTGCTGATCATTTTCTGTTATGGCTTAGCCTTAGCCAGACTGCTATCTGTCAAAAAAAAAAAAAAAAAAAAAAAAAAAAAAAAAAAGTAAAATATCAATAAAGAATTATGTTGCCCTCTAGAGAAATCGTAATCGACTTCCATTGCACTATTTTACCTTAGTAATTCCAAAAGATTTTGAAATGCACATATTTAGCATGCAAATATCTGCTGTTGCTGTTTATATAAGCTGTTGATGGAAAGTAACGTGCAGAATGTTTCAGACAGCCTTATGTAACAATAAATGTAAGGTCATGTTCTGCTAGCCTGGTTCAGCTGATGCACTTGGTATGTAGCCACCAGCTGGTTGAACGGAGACATGGTGTTCCTTTACACAGATCACTTATTTTTAACACTGTCTGGAATTATTTTCTAAATTTAGCTTCTTTATTTATTTATTGAATCATATATGAGTCAGATCATCAATAGACTCATGTACAGGATCAGATTATGTCCAGGCATGTCGGCCTACTCTGCTAAAGGCAAATTTAAAAAAAAAATAAAAAAAAAATAAAAAAATACCAAACTGAATTCTGAGAGCCCACTGTAGGCAACATAATTATGCAGAAATGATTTATTTATTTAATTATTTTTTTATATATACAGGTTTAAATAGCATCCCCATTATAAATATAGCCTAACTTGTTTGTATACATACCAGCATAGCATTTCAAAAAAACAATTGAGTTGTAGCTCCCTTTTAAGCCATAGTTATATGAACAATTGTGAAAATTATTTTTGTTTGACAATTAAACGGTTTCTTTTTTTTTACCCTTTCCCAAAGAATAGGAACGCTGGTTTCTTTATGCTAGTAGCTTATAGTTTCATGTGTACGACTTTACGATGTGTATTGATAGTTATACAATTTCAGTTAAAGCTAACCTAATTCCAACATTGTTATTTTTATTTTTGGATGTCCTAAAATTATCCCCAATATATGTCAGTGAAGTGGGACAGGAAGGAGTGATCAGCTGTAGCCCTTAGATCATTTAATAAACAAATACATTCTAACCTTTGTACTAGGCTATGTTGTTAATAAATAAATAAATAAAGATCAGCTGCAGCCCTGATGTAAAGCATCTGACTTGTTAACAGTCAAAGTACGGAATGTACTGTAGCCTAACGTACATTTATTAAAAACAACTGAAATAGCTCTAACGTTACCTTAAACAACAACAACAATAATTGTTATTTCTTCGGACAATCGAAGAAAACATGAAGGAACAACACAATAATATAGGCAAACTATACTTTTGCTTTTGTATCGGCTGTAGACTAACGTTATATTATATTCTCTTTCAGACATTTTCAAAGGATAAACTAATACACAGTTTCTAAATAGATTGTGTTTAAATAGCCTACAAAACAATAGCTGAAGTTATCTAAAGAAGAACAAAACATTCACAAATTTGAAATTTGAAAATCTGAATTTTGTAAAATCTGAATAACAACGTTTAGTTTTGCCCACCTTATTAGTTGTCAGAAAAGTAGTTTTTGCAGCTTAAATGCCTCTGCTTTATCTAAATATGTCTGGTTGTAGTAGTCACTAGCCTATACCGTCGATGTACAGTCTGGACTTGTTTATGTACTCGAGGCTCCTCCCCCTTATTCTTGACTGTACTCAAACTGACGTCAACGACATAAAGGCGGGGCGTCAAGGGCAATTCGTACATGCGGATGTTCTTGTTTACCTCGGAAGTCTCACAAGTGCTTTTTTTTATTCTCACGTGTGTTTACAGATAGCCTGTCATATACAATACTAGCCTATAGAAAAAGAAAACAAAAACATTAATCTATTCAAATCCACAGACGCTGAATTGGAAGACTTGTATGTCAAATTGACTGATATAGTGCTGCATAATTCACAATTAAAACACAAGTGTAAGGCACAAGTGTGTACTTTACACTTTTTCTTTAGTGCTGTCTCAACTAATATAATATTCCTGTTAATTTGTGTCAAGTAGTATAGACAGACATTGTAAAGTGCAAGAAATTATTATGATTTGCATGAGTGTCTTTGTTCTGTTGAACACAAAAGAGAATATTAGGCAAAATATTGTTAACCAGACAGTTGACGGCACACTGTAAAAAAATATTGTTGGTTTAACTTAAAAAAGTAAGTAACCTGGTTGCCTTAAAATTTTAAGTTCAATGAACTGGAAAAAGTGAGCTAATACAATGAAGGAGATTGATTTAATCATCAGAAACTCAAAATAATAAATTATCTCAACTAAATAAATTATTTAAGTTGTTTTGACAAAAGAAAAAATGTTGTGATAACAAATCTTGAAAATATTTTTTTACAGTGCACCCATTGAATTCAACAGTAAAACAATAATAATATGGAAGTCAATGAGTGCCGTCAACTGTCTGCTTATTAACATTCTTTAAAATATATTCTGTGTCAACAGAAAGAAACTCATAACATGTTTGGAACAAATTGAGGAGTGATGACTAATGTGGCCCTCTTGAGTTTAAAACAGCAAGGGACTGAGCCATTTAGTTCCTTATTTTACTCATTTATCTTTAATCTCAAAATGTCAGAAAAGACCCATTTTATAATAAACATTATATTTTCAAATGATTTATTTTAGGCTATACAGTAATCACATTCGGGTGTCATCTGAGAACTGACTTGATCTTGAAGAGTAAACACATCATCTATAGGATGCTCCATGAATTATCTTACAGGGAGATGCCTCATGTGTTGTGTGTTCATATTAATATTGTCATAGAGATATAGTAAACACATATTACTGTAAAGCAAGAGGACCCACAAGGCAATGGGCTCGGCTCCACGTGAGATGAGCAGACTGCTGAATTGGGCAAGTAAGTTGAGCAATCCCACTCTGATTTCACCCAAAGTGACAAACAGGCGTCTGCTACTCCTCTTTAAAGAACAAAAGGTAAGCTCTTTAAAAAGTTTTTACGAGTTGCATTAATGAGTTTACTTTTTTTTTATCATATTAATGCATTGCACATTACGTATCCTAAGTGTCAAAATGATTTATTATAACAGTAATGAAAAAGACTTTGTTTTGTTTTAAAATTACATGTTAATAATTATTTTAGTTATTTAGTTATTTAAAAAAAACTATTTATTTTTAGTTGTTAGTTTAGTTATTTAAAGATATTACTGTGTAATCCATAGTCGAATATCTAACTGTCCAAAGCGTAATCTTAGTTTCTATTATTTTCCCATTATTCGATTGCAGAATGCGAAATATAAATATGTAATACTGTCTGTAATAATATTTGCTATCATGAAATCATTTGAAATGCCTAGTTATATTCTCAGATGATGCATGAACTGGCAAAGCATTTTAGCATCAACGTTACTTTCAGTTCTTCTCATTTAAGGGGCAATTAATTCTTTTTCTCCTGACATCATCAGAATGAACGGGCGAGTGGATGACATCATGCAGCTTTGCTGTGAGGTCTCGGCCAGCAGGAAGATGAAAGCAGCGGTGAAGAGCTCTGGAAAGGGAGCTGCAGCGGCTGGTGGAGGTGCTTTTGTCGGGGGAATGGTTGGAGGCCCAGCCGGTATCGCTGTCGGTAGGATCATTACTCTGTTTCTCATGCAATCCTTGAACTTTCATCTGCTTTCATCATAGGGTGGTGTCATTTAAACTTGAATTTATCTTTTTTTTTCTTTTCTCACAGCCCTTTCACTAAGGCGTCACCAACACCAAAATAAGAATTAAAAGAGACATAAAAACAAGATGAATTATTTTAATCTTTTGATAGCCCTTATATTTTTTTTGTTATATATATATATATATATATATATATATATATATATATAAAAAATGAACACTATTATTGAGCTTTATATAAGTAGAACTTTTATATAAACATATAAATTAATCATATTCTGCGCATGAATCTGTCGATATATTATAGGTGGTACTTTGGGAGGTCTCATGGGAACTTGGATGACCAGTGGCCAGTTCAAACCTCTTCCTGAGATCATCATGGAGCTGCCTCCTAAATATAGGGAGAAACTGTACTCTGATGTCATGGCTGCACTGGGCACACTGGACTGGAGAGACGTCACTAGCCTCATTGCTCTGGTTATGGGCAGTGCCACTCTGCAAGAACGAGTGCTTGCTGCTATACTCTGTTATGCCTCGAAAGAGCTCAAGGCCGAAGTGCTGTATGAAAAATGACCACTAAAGAGTGAACTTCAACAGCCAGGGTTTTCAAGTCTTGGTCCTGTTTGGTTATATTAGATAATCTGGTTGCTTTTGTACTCATGCTGAGGCTCTTCTTAATCTTCTTCTTCTCTCTTTCTATACCAGTGCCTTTTAAACCATTAGCTATTTCTGTACAATGCAGGTTACTCTAATAAAGCACATGTCCTTTCTGTGTCTCATCTTTGGGATGGATTATTATTTTATTCATTTTATGTTTTACTAATTATATTTCATATAGTAAATTGTATGGAGTTTAGACCAGTAAACTTTTATTTTACTTTTATTTCTCATATATGTATATATATATATATATACAGTGCTGGTCAAAAGTTTGAAACACGTTACTATTTTTATGTCTATATGAAGAGTTCAGATGCAAAAACCTCTAAGTGCCATTTGAAATTCTAGAATGATCATTTTTATCAAGCTCGTATATTTAAGTTCAGTAATTTCACTTAAATGGCAATGAAGATTACCTATGAATTGTCATTTAAGTGAAATCACTGAACTTAAATAAACCAGCTTGATAAAAATGATCATTCTAGAAGAAAATTTCAAATAGCACTTAGAGGCTTTTGCATCTGAACTCTTCATAAACTCATCAAGCCTGTATTTATTTGATCAAAAATTCTGAAAACAAATAATATTAATATGGTAAAATTTTAATACAATTTAAAATAATGGTTTTCTATTTTAATACACTTAAAAATATATTTATTTCTTTGATGCAAAGCTGGATTCACTGATGAATAAAAAGTTAAAAATAACAGAATTTATTCAAAATATAAATCTTTACTATCACTTTTTATCAATTAAACACATCCTTGCTGAAAAAAGTATTGATTTCTTTCAAAAACTTTTGATCAGTAGCCTAGTGTACATTGTTACAAAAGATTTCTATTTTAAATATGCTGTTTTTTCTACTTTTTATTCATCGAAGAAAAAAATGCCATAAAAATATAACATTAAAAATGTTATAAAAAAATAAATACAAATATTATAAATTATTTTTAATATTATAAAAATATCAGTATATTAGAATAATTTCTGAAGGATCATGTGACACCGAAGACTGGAGTGATGAAAATTCAGTGTTGCATCATAAATTCTATTGTAAAGTATATTAAAATAGAAAGCCATTAGTTTAAATTGTAATAATATTTAACAACATTACTGTTTTTTTTCTGTATTTTGATCAAATAAATGCAGGCTTCATGAGCGAGTCTGCTTTCAAAATTATAAATGGCAATGTTTCCAAACTTTTGACTGGTAGCCTATTCAAAAGCATATAAACTGAAATGATATAATTTGCCACATGGGTATCAGCCCAGGTTTGAATGACTCAGCTTGACGAATGCAGTAATTTTTACTTTTACTTACTCGATATCTTCCGTGCAATGTTTCTACTTCTTGGGTGTCACAATTTTTCAGAATGTTAAAGGCCTATTATTTATTTAATAATTCTTCTTCTTTTTTCTTTTTTTTTTACTAGGCCTACAACGACCTGAAAATCAATTCAATAAATTATGTGACACGTAGTCTGTTTTAAGTGTGCGTCCATCACTAATCTGCAAATATTTAAGCCCAGAGACAATAGGTAGCTGCTATAGCCCTATAAACTGAGCAGAGCGCGGAAGTGCATGCAAATTTATGAATGTGATACCGAAAGTAACTTTGTCTTTACCATTAAAATCTGCTCGAGTTTAAAGAAAGACATTCAGGTAAGAACTGCAAAGCCTTGTTAACTAAAATCAGAGATGTAGGCCTAGTTGATCAAATACCCATAGTAGAGAGTAAAAACTTTTTTTAATTGCTGTGCGTCGATCCTATTTTCTCAAACATGAAAAGTAGCGATCGAGGCCTCAAAAATACACGAAATGACTAATTAAGTTTTTGTGTTGTTTGCAGTTTTTCCTCTTCTTTTATACATGTGTGCATCATTGTTTATTGATATTTTCAGCACGTCATAATGGCAAATCGTAAAGATGATATTATGAAACTCTGCTGTGAAATCTCCGCAAATAAGAAGATACAAGCAGCATTTAAGAACTCGGCGAAAGGAGCCGCAGTTGCTGGGGGAGGTGCTTTTGTTGGAGGTCTGATCGGAGGTCCAGCTGGCATAGCTGTTGGTAATGTTTATCCGTGATTTCTTGATATCCTCAAACGTCTAGTTCACTTATTAACCACAAGATGGTGCTGTAGATTGGTTTTATTTATTTATATTGCTTGCAGGTGCTGCTTTGGGAGGTGCGCTGGGAGGATGGATGACCAGTGGCCAGTTCAAGCCACTTCCTGAGATCATCATGGAGTTGGCTCCTACACAGCAGGATAAACTGTACTCTGACATCATGGCAGTAATGGGTACACTGAAATGGACTGACCTCGCCCAGTTAATAGCTCAAGTTAATGGGAATACCGCTCTACATGAACAAGTTCTGGCTGCTATTCTCAATTACACTAAAACCCAGCTCAAAGCTGATGTGAAGTATGAAGATTGAACACTGAGGGTGAATGTCGCTGGTTTAGTTACCCTTTTAAGTTATAATTTAAAACTAAGTTATAAAAGTTATAATTTCGGTTACTCTTTCTGGTTCTGTGATGCATTTCTATGCATTATATATAGAGTTCAGATGCAAAAGCCTCTAAATGCCATTTGAAATGTTCTTCTTTAATGATGATTTTTATCAAACTTGTATATTTAAGTTCAGTAATTTCACTTAAATAACAATTAATAGGTAATTAACATTGCCATTTAAGTGAAATTACTGAACTTAAATATACAAGCTTGATAAAAATGATCATTCTAGAAGAAAATTTCAAATGGCACTTAGAGGCTTTTGCATCTGAACTCTTCATATATATATATAGCCTATATTGTTTAATTAAACATTGAGTGTTTATTGGTGTGGTCCAAAACCTTAGGACCTTTGTCAGACTTGAACTTGGAATACACACGCATAATTTACTGGATTAAAAGGGTTTGTGTGGTTTAAATACACAGAGTCATGTATTATCATGTGCTGTTTTTTTATTATTTGAATTTAAATTAAAAACATGAGGAGAATGTGCTTGAATATTTTTTTTGTTAAAATCTATAATTAAATTAAAGGTAAATAAAAAAATAATGATAAATAAATAAATAAATAAAACTCCTGGTATCCCGAAGGGCAAGGCACCTAACCCCTTGAGCAAGGCACCTAACCCCCAATTGATCCGGGGCTGCCCAATGGTCTGGGTATGTTTGTGTTCATCACTCATTACTTCTAATGTGTGTGCACAAATTTAAATGCAGAGGACAAAATACAAAAATTACAAATTGAAGTTGACATTTGAAGGCCAGGTCCCGTGAAAAACCAATGTATTCAAAATCAGTATCTCTTGAAGACTGATATTTGTAATTGGTGGATGTACCTAACTATTTGTTAAAATGTCTACAAAACAAAGTCTGTTTTTTTAGGTGTTCAAGCACGAAGTGATGAAAACCTATTGTAATTTAGCTATTTATTTATAAATGAATTCTAAAATTCTAACATTTGTTCAATCTGTCATTTTTTGAACATTTCTAATAACATGACATCTCTCCCCCATTATCCCTATATAAATGCTAAATGTCTTTCTGTGACAAAGCGGTGTGAGAAATGGATGGATTGATAGATTGGCTGACTAAACCTAAACGCACACCCACACACACTCCCCTTACACGTCACTAACCCGACCCCTAAACCTATCCACCACCACAACAAAACGTTCTGCATTCTGCAAACCTTCTGAAAAAAAAAAAAAAAAAAATCTTTCTGATTTATAAGCTTTTGTACACTTGAGGACTTCAATTTAGGTCCCTATATAGTCACACGATTCTATTAGACTGTGTGCATTTGGGTTTAAGTCCCCCGAGACAGAAAAACATGTAGGCTACACACACACGTTATATATATATATATATATATATATATATTTTTTTTTTTTTTTTTTTTTTTTTTACTTTTGTTCGCTGTAATTTCTACTCTATCCAACAGGTGGACCTATTGGGGCATTTTGCTGGTTGTTTCGACAATGGAGGTGATGCTCCGATGATCATGTCGATATCAAATTAAAAGTAGAATGATCAGCTGAGCAAAGAGCGGAAGTGATGTCACTTTCACTTTCTCAATCTTAAAGTAAAGTCAACAGAAACGGAGGTAAGAAAAAGTTTAGTTTTATGAAAGCTGTAATGTAGTTTACAAAACTTGTTAAATATTGTCAAAATGTAGGCCATGGAAATGTAGCCTATACATATTTTAACTTGTTTAGCTTTAACATTATTTTTCTATTTGATTTTTATCACGACTTACAGTCTGTTTGTTTTTTGAAAGAAACCGTTTAGGCCTAACTTATGACACTGCGCAATGTTAAATCAACTTACATTTGAGAATAGACAACTCTTTGATTATTTTTTCTCCTCCCCAGGCAGTGTTTTTGAATACAACACAATGAAGCGTCAAATAGACGATGTAATGGGACTCTGCTGTAAAATATCAGATAGCAGGCAGATTAAAGCAGCGGTACAGAGCTCAGCCAAAGGAGCTGCTTCTGCGGGCGGAGGGGCGTTTTTAGGGGGGCTACTCGGAGGACCCCCCGGTATATTTATTGGTATGTATTGAGGTGTGTGTTTGATTTCTTGTCATCCACAAACTTCGACTTACTGCAGTTCTTAACTAGTTTGGTGGTATAATATCTATACTGTGGTTCGAGCCAGCGTTAACTAAAACAAAATAAAATAGGCTAAACAAAACGTAAGCTACTTCAGCTACTTGTCAAGTTTAAATTTTTCATCCAATAATTTTTATTACTGTTAGTTTAACTTTATGTTGGTTACTAAAATAAAGCAATAAATAACCCCATTAGGCATTAGCTCTGTTCTAAATTCACTGTAAACCACATTGGGCTTATTGCTTTTATAAAACCGTTAGTTCATAAGATATTTATTTTAATATTTCCTCAATGCACATTTGTAAAGTATGTTTGTTGAGGAATTTAAAACATGGCAATGTTGTTGTTTTTTTGTTTGTTTGTTTGTTTGTTTTTTTACAATGTGGCTTTTTTGATTAAAGCATGTAAAAGTTGGAATTGCAAAACAAAGAAAATACAGTAAACGTTTAGTGAGACCAACTTAAAAAAAATGATATTCTATTGTCTTATTTAGGTGGTGCTCTGGGAGGTGCTGTTGGATGGTGGATGACTAATGACAAATTCCAGCCTCTTCATCGAATCATAATGGAGATGCCACCTCAACAAAAGAAGAAACTGTACTCTGACGTCATGGCAGTACTGGGAAATCTGGATTGGGTTGACCTGGCTCAACTAACTTTTCTAGTAATGAGTAATTCCTCTCTGCAGATGCGAGTGCTTACTACTTTAGTCTCTTTTGCCACAAAAGAGCTTGGAGCCAAAGTGGAGTATGGGCAAAAATAGTGGGTTACTGTCACCTGCTAAACGGCAAACTACTTCTTCACTGCTGATTCCTGGTGGTTTAGAGGAGAATTACTCCGAGTTCGCCCCCTGTCGTTTCAAAGAATAGCACAACGGCGAGCGCGTCAAGTATAAATGCATCGTTCGTTTGGAGAGGTGCGCGCACAGTCAGCGGAGACTTGCGCTCTTGCGGACGTGTCGAGTATAAACAAGGCTTAAAAGTGACTTTAATGATTCTTTTCTTTATTGATTCAATAAAAATCTACACAACAGTTCAATGTTATTTTTACACTCTGCAATATACATATGTGGCATCAAGAGAGGGTGTGTTCTGGAGGGAAGACATTGCCCTCAGATGGCTGGAGCAAGATGGCCGCCTGTTAAGGACTACAAAACCCAGGGTGCCGGAGAGTACAGCAGCAGCTACAACCATAGATATCTATATAAAGGCTAGATATGTCGTCCACCCTGCTGGCCAATGGAGGTCGTCGTCTGCACCTGGCGGCCATCTTGTCACAGGCAGCTCGCTCACTCGTAACATTGTGTTAATGGTACATGTACTATTTAATTGACCATAACTTGCTCAATTTTCTACCGATTTTCAAATGGTTTGTTTTGTTATAAACGTCAGAGATGTAGTTATGACACTGCATACTTATGAATAAAAAGTGTAAAAATAAATAATCATCCAGATAATTATAGCCACGTTAATAACGTTTGTAAGAAACCAAACCATTTGTAAATCCGTCAAGAGTTCAACGAGATAAGAGTATTTGTGTTCGTGCTGACCACTCATCTTACATCAGCTTGTCTGTGACAAGATGGTCGCCGGTGATGACGATGGAAACTCTGCCGTAACACATCTAGCCTTTATATACATATCTATGGCTACAACCGGCAGCAGGCTCTAGTGGGTGTTGTATTGACTGAGTTTTTCATATTAAGAGGTATGTAGACTGCCAAGAAATTGAGGATGTTTTCATGTTTAGAAAATGCTATTCATTTTTCTCATTAAAAAAAAAAAAAAGACTAAAAAGAAGTTGGCCTGAACCACAGGGTCTCACTCTTTCTGTATTCTGTAGTTTGTGTAGTTATATGGTTTGCTGGAGAGCAGCAGGTTTGCTTTTCTTAGAATAGCCTCTCTGATGTCATAAGCTACAGACCACACTCACGCCATGAGTGAAAGGTCAGTGTCTCCTACAGAGAGAAAGGTGCTGAGCAGAGTGGTGAGGATAGCTGAGCGGAATATTGGGACTACTCTGTAGACCATTGAGGAGCTGGCCTAGAGAAGCTTATCAAGAGCAATGGGCATCATCAAGGACCCTATGGCCACACATTGTTTTCCCACCTCCCTTCTGGCAAGAGGTACTGCAGTTTGAGAACAAGGACCGCAAATTTCAAAAACAGCCTCTTCCCCACTGCTGTCAGACTATTGAACACAAAACCCCAATAAAACATACCAATCATTGTGAATTCATGTACATAACTATCTGTTCTGACTGCTCCTTGTTCTCAACTGCAGTATTTAAAATTTTAAATGAGGATATTCATGCTCCCAAATGTATAGATACTTACCAGTTTTAGGCATTGTATATTTGTATTCATCACTCGACATGCTCTGCATACCCATATAAGCGTTTTAATTATTTCTTTTAGTTTTATATGTAGCTAATATCTTGTTCTCACAGTGTTCTTTAAATTGTTTTTGTGCTGTATTTTTGAGCACATTTTTTATCCTAATAAATACAATTGAATATACAAAAGAATGCAGTGAAACCCTCGGTGCTGACATGTAATTTATTTGGTAGCACAATTGTGTTTTATTTTTAGGGTTGTCAAGGTGGTTGTATAACATCAGTTGTTAGCCAAGAAAAAATGCAGCTACTTCCTCATATTAATGTGTGTATGCATTCACTGTCTGTTGTCTAAATGGGACACATTGCATGTTTTCAGGCAAAACATGAAAAGACACATTAAACTCTTTTAGATCTGCATGCACTCAATGAAGACTTTACCTTAAAGGAGTAGTTCACCTAAAAATAATAATAAAAAAAACAAAACAAAAATAATATTCAGTCATGGTTTCACTCACCCTCATGCTATTTCCAACCTGAATGAATTACTTTCTTCTGTAGGTATTTTTAAATATGCCTTAGTTTTTTTTTCTTTTCTTTTTTTTCAGTGGAAGTCAATGGTCACCAATATTCCTCAAAATATCTTCTTTTGAGTTACAGAACAACAGTCATAGGTTTGGAACAACATAAGGGTGAGTAAATGATGACAGGATTTTCAGGTTTGGGTAAACTAACAAAACATTACAGATCAAATCTTTTTCATAGTTTGATTTTTTCTTTCTTCAAGTTTTGACCATGTGTACACACATGACAAAATCCAAAGTGGGTGGCATTCTGTGATTTTGTGTCATTCTTTTTTTAATGTCTGTGTTAAGTGTTTTGACAGTATTCAATTATGGGGCTTTACCTTCAGACTATTAGCTCATTTACTATCCCAAGTTGGGCATTAGTCACATTTATTGTGCATTTGTCTGTCCTACTGCCCTTTGTCAAGTCAAATCACGTTTATTTAGCACTTTATGCAATACAGTGATAAACAGGAAAGTAATGACCAGTGATGCAAATAATTAAATTCTGATGTAAAGCATCTCTAAAAAGTTAGTTCAGTGTTGACTATAAGTTCAATTCAGCTAAGCAGCTCTATTGAAGACATTATTGTGTCTTGTTTGTAATGCAAAGAAATTGAGCTTAGTAAGACACAACTTTTCTTTAAACCTTATGATCTTTGCTTCACTAGTTTCCAGAAATAAGCTGTAATGCGTTGGAGTTTCTGTACAGTAAGACCGTGGTGTTTCTTTGGTAGTTTACTTTGATAATGAGTCTCTGATCTGCATTTTAACAAATTTGTTAACAAACTCTTCCATTTTATATGTCCAATGATGGTAAACAACAGGGATGTGTGTGAAAGCTGATCTCACCTGATACACTGGTTTTGTTGGTTACTGTACACCTCACTGTGTGCCAAAAAGTCTGTGATGGAGATTATGCAAAAGAAAAAAAATGTGTTTTTTATAATGTTTCTCTTCCTCCCACCACAGTTCTTATGAGAGCAGTAAATGAGCTCAGCTTGTATGTGCACATCACCACTCAGCTATGACTATTTAGCTGTCATACACTGGTGAAATTATGCAATCTCTGATCACTTTCAGAGTAATTGCCTAAACAAGATGGCTGTTTTTGTTTTGTAATCCACACACTTTGACTTGTTCTACTAATCAATTGTTAGCACTATAAAAATAGATGGTTCTGTAGAGCTTCTTTGCTCATATAAAACTTATATTTAGGAACCCTTTTATGTTAAAATGGTTATTTGCATTGAAAATTATGCTCCTTGGCAAACTTATAAAACATCACAGGTTTACTTTGTAGGTAAAGGGTGTCCTTGTTACAGTATAATTATGCATTTAAGTAATGTAAATTAACTACACATAGTTAGTTATTTGGGAAATGCATCTGTGAAAAGGGTCCATTAGAAGGCACAGTCATGAGACCTACACTATAATACCGAAATCATGTCCCTGTTTTTACGTTTATTGCAATTATACCCAGAGAAGCAATATGCTAAGTCCCTGTCCACTCTGATAACACCATTTATTCCACCCTTAACGTTATAGGTCTGCAGTAAGAAGTCTTCAGTGAGGACGCTTCTATTGAAAACATTGAATTTAATATGATCCACACTGTTAGAACATCAGAATGTAGTTCTTCTGTTTATAAACAGACATTTACAAAAAAACTGGTGTGTGTATGTTTCCCACCAATTAATACAGTACCACAATATTTATTAAATAATGCTTTTTTTATTATATTTATTGCAAAAGTCACAGTTCCCTTTATACATATGCTATAGAGTATATTATATTCAAATATACATACAAATACTAAATAGAAGTGCAAAACATAATCATAGAAGTGACTCATATTTTAGTGCAAAATACTTAATAACTGCTGGTATGTCTCTGTGCAGAGCATAGTTCACAATAGTAGTAGCTCACATGACATTCAGAGTCCATTGAGGGGAGGATTCATGTGCCCGGGCTTTATGTAGCAGTATGGGGAGCAATCCTCCTTGTCAAACTGATAATTGAACCACTTGGTGTGCACCTGGTACCCGTTCTCATATTCAAGATCCTCATCGCTAGACGTCTCGAACTCAGGTACCCTTGGTGATTCCTCGACAGAGTTTTTCTTCCAGTGCTTTACCTTTTTTCTCTTCTGTCCCAGCACCTTTCCCTCTTGCGAGCTGTTCGCACAGTTCCGGCAAACTCTCACGGGCTTGGAGGAGATGTTTGGTAGCAAGGCCCGGTTCTTCGAGCAAGCTTGACATACTATATAGCCGCATTTCCGGCAGTGGTGCCTCCGAGTGGTGACGTTAAAGTTCTTTGTGCAGCGCATGCAGATGGCTGAAGCCTTGTCAGGGATCCAGGTGGTAGCAAACTTCTCTGCATCTGTGTCAGTGGGAAGGCCCTTAGTTTGCATGCAGAGGGTCTTGCACTTCTCAATGTGCTCCATCCATGCAATTTTTTCCTCAGGTGAGGCTGCCGAAACATAGAAAGACTTGTGTGGCATGCGGATGAGCCATTGGTTGGGCATGGCCATTCCGTCTTCCAGATCTTCCTGCTGCACCTCCTCCAAAGGAACGACCCTTTTCTTATTGTTCCAGCGACCAGGCACCATGACGTTACCATAGACCAAGATGTCGTTGAAGAGGAAGAACACTTTGGGTTTGGGTCCACGCCTGCACAGCTTCAACAAGCAGCCCTCTCCCACAAGAATACGCCCGGGTTTTAAAAGCACCTTCCCAGCGCAGCCAAAAGAGCTCGCCACAGCCCTGATTCGCTCACGGTTCTGAACAGCAAAGGCCAGATCTTCCATTGTTGCTGCCTGTAAAATGTCAAAGTATTGACAAAGTCAAATCTATTTCAATGTACTGTTTTTAGTACTTCTAATCAACAAGATTTCACCTCTGATTACGCTAATAAATTAAATTATACAATATAATCACAAAATAAATGTTTGAACATCTTAAAAAATAATTCACCAAGGAACTACCAAATACCTGATTGGTGTGGAAAGCAATGAATTGTTGGTTAAACAGACTTTGTATCTGTTCGCAGTTCCCTCGTTCCAAAAAAACTTTATGAAACGACTCCTCTGTGTGCAGCACTACAAATCACTTCTTTCTCTTTTCAGGTTGG